GTGTTTTTAGAGACATGTTACTGGTAATATCCACTGTTTTTCTCCCTTGAAACCAGTGCAACTGGAATTGTGTCTTCAGTGAATATGTTTCAACATGCATAGCCCTAAAAAATATATAGCTCCTTCTGCTCATTCATATGTCTTTGATGTTCCTTCTTTCCTGGTTGTATTCATTAACTTATGCACTTAAATATTGTCATCCAGAAACTCAATATTCCAGTCACCTTTTACCATTGGGACCAGAAATTTCCCTCAGACTTTCAAACAAAAAATTAGGCAAATAGCCTTAGAAATGATTTGCATTTAAATTGATCAATTTGCAGTTGCTGAAAAGGCATGACAAGGTAAATAAGGAAAACTATTTGAATTTGTTGGGGAATCGTTGATAAAGCGCATAGTCTCAAGATTGTTAGCAAAAATTCACAAAGAATGTTTTCAGTCGAAGAGTTATCTGGGTGGGGAGTTTATAACCACAATGGTTATTGAGACTGGATGGATGAAATTCACTCAAAGAGGAATAATTCAAATGATAATTTAACACAAAATGCGGCACAGACATGATGGCTTGAGTGTGCCTTCTTCTGTACTTAATTCTGTGTTTACAAGCAGAAGGCTGATGATCCCAGTATTAAAAATGCCATTGTTTTTCATCAAAGTGTTCCATACAACCACTAAATGAATCTGTCAACTGTACATGGCATCAGATATCGTCATTAAACTACTTAAATACTCTGTTGTTGACAAAAGCAAAATTAGTTAGAATTTACTTTCCTTCTTATTTAAAATAATGGGTGGTAACATTTGATTGACAACAAAAAAGCACAGTGAAAGTTCACTGGGGGTGCACTGCATTGTTGAAGGCTTTGCAGGAGACATTAAACTGAAGTCCCATCTGCCTGTTCAAGTATATGTTAAAGATCGCATGGCACTGTTGAAAAGAGAAGGAAATTTCTCCCATTGTTGGGGCGACAAATCCCTCCCCCCGCCCCCCACCCCCAAACAAAAATTGGTTCTTTACTTTATGGCTATTTGTAGGACATTGTTGTGTGCAACTTGACTGCTATGTTTGCTCACAAATACACGGTCACTGGACTTACAGTGAATCCTGTGAAGCATTTTGAGATAACAGCAACAAAATTACATTTGTATTGTGACTTTCACGTCGGAAGGACGTCCCAAGTCGCTGAACAGAAAGGGTTACGAACCCGAGCTGAGGTCATTCTATATATATGACATATATATGAAACATACTATATAGATATCCAATATCAAATGTAAGGATTATTATCATATCCTTTAGTGATCAATGAAGTGCATTGGATTAATCTTAACATGAGAAACATTTTGAAGTGTTGTGGATACGTTAGTTACCAATAGTGACACAATTGTGTCAATAGTGAGTCACAAGCAGTAACATTATTCAATATGTCAGCCACAATTCTGTTAAAAACCTATTAAATATTACTTATTGACTCCATGAACATTTAATGCAATGTTCCATACTCTTACACAATAATTTACATTTATATAATACGTTTCAAGCACGTATTTCCAACTGCTTTACAAACTGGAATTAATACAGCTCAGAATTCCTGAGTCCTGTAAAACAGAATAAAGTGTTTTCCCACAGACACCTGGCCTTTGGAGGTTACCTGCCTTAGCAGACGGTGCATGTATATTCAGATACTGTGTAGTAGTGTGACAGGATCTGAGGAAACCAAGACTTTCTTAATTGTGTTTTTTTGGCATTTTATCTGCTACGCAAAGAATGGTTAGCAGAGGCTAGAAGATGCATCTAAAAATTAGGTGACTTTCCTCCGTCCATTTGCTCTGGAGCTCCGTGCTTTCATTGATGAGTTTGCTCTGTGGTATGGAGAGAGACCTCCGGGTCTGGCCTCCTCCTCGTCCCCCGAGTCCTCAGCTCCACCCTCGGCAGCCGTGCCTTCAGCCACTATGCCCCGAGGCTCTGGAACTCCCTTCCTCACTCCCTTTGTCTCGCTCCTTCCCTTCCTATTTTCAGGTCTCTGCTGAAGACCTTTCTTTTCGACCGCCCATTGGTTACCTTCCTCCCCCTCCCCCTGGCTCGGCCCCGGGATCCGTTACTGTAAAGCGTCCTGAGAAGCCATCCGACATGGAGGACGCTATATAAATCCAACTTGTTGTTGTTGTTTTTGTTGAGAGGCAATTGGAGATCCAACTCTAGCCTCCTTCAAGACCCGTCTCAAGACCCTCTTCTTCGACCGTGCCTTCGGTCAACCTCCTTCCCCCACCTGCCCTCCACCCGCCCCGATCCCGACGCCCAGCTCGGGTCTGAAACACTGACTGTCCAGCACCTTGGAACATTCTCCTGATGTGAAAGGCGGTATACAAATGTAATTTTGTTATTGTTGTTGTTTGCCAGACCCGTCTGTTGTACACGACTAGTAGCCACTGGAGGCAAAATAGTAATGAAAAAGTGGAAGAATTGGAAGTGAAGTGAATGTTACGTGGGCAAATGCAGCAGCTAATTTGCACCAATAATATGCTTCAACGACTTGCTCTTATATATCACCCTTGACATTGGTGTGCTTTACAAAAACTAGGTCAAATGCTGAGCAAGGAAGAGGGGACAGGAGAATAGGGGAGTTGACCATAGGCGCAGTTGGAGAGGTAACGTTTTGGTGGGATTTAAAGATACAGAGGGAATGAGGTGAAGGGGCAAAGGGTGGTGGAGGGACTTCCAGAGATTAGTCGTGGGGTAAAAATGCACATCAATCAAACATTGAGATGAGCAGCTAATTCATTTGACTTTTGGGGTGAATTTGTAGGAACTACAAGCTTGGATCCCATCCTTCTCTTTGCAATAGAGGTATCCCTTTAAATGCAGAGTTTAAACACTCTACACTAATGAACACATGTCTTTTATTGCAATGTTACTACACTGTCCATTGTGTGAAAACTGATAAGGAAGAGTTTAGTTGTTTTCCTTCCACAAGTGTCAGGTTAAAACGTTTGTTTCCTGCTTTCTTGACACATAGTAGAATTTACTGTATGCACAGAGGATTGTAGGAAGGCTGCTTAATTTTGACTGCTTAGTGCTCAGATTTTTGTAGGCCAGATTCTTTGAGAATGTTTAAGAAAATAAAGGTTAGAACTGTGTATGGCAGATTGGGGGAAGGGTAGGGTTTATGTTACACATCATACAGTGTTGCGAAATAACTGAAGGAAAATACAAAATTACATTCAGTGTGTCCTTGAAACATGTTATCTGTTATGAAAGGGAATAAATACCATTTAATGCACAGAACCATTACAAGGTGTCGTCATTGTGTTTTTTGTGAACTGCGGTAAGAGTGCTTTGAAAGATAGCCATAGGAAAATGCTACAGTTGAAGCCTTATCAGCCTTCTACACTGAGCCAGACAAGCTTCCCAAACCAGCCGGAAAAGGAGGATGATTTCTTTGCAAAGAAAACTCGGAGCAAAAAACTGTTAGTTTGCTAAATTAATGTTTTACATTCTGCTGAAGTATTCATATTTCAAAGACAAAGAAAAAAATTGAAGAAACTACCAACTGCCAACTGTTACGTAATGCACTGTATTTTCACCAAATTCTGGCAGTAAGTAACAATTGGAGAATTTGTTTGTGGACAAGGCATAAGGTGCATGAATATCATTTTGTGCAAAATAATTGCACCAATTAAGAGGAACCTTTCCTGTATATATTGCATGCAAATCTGCAGCTAGCAGTTTTGAAAGTGCCTGTAACTGTACTGTTCAAAGAGCTGGCATCCAACAACTAAAGAAAAAGTGCTAATCTCACGCAGACTGAAACAACACCCTTTTGGGATAATGCTATTACAAACATGGGAACTGGGTTTGAATTGAGTTGAATGCTTTTTTTCTCCTTGCATGGATTTTGGCAGAAATACTGGAGTGTGTCCATGTATGTATTGTACCAATGTATGGAACTGCATGCAATTATGTTATCTAAACTAACAAATGTAACGTATCAATAAGAGGCAAATGTCAGACGTTATTAATGACATACTTCTCAATATAACAGCATAGAAAGTCAGTGATAGAAGCAACACAAATCAGTGTCCTTTCTTTTCAGTGTAAGTTTGCAAATAATAATAATGCTTGCATTTGAAATAGCATTTTTCACGTCTTCTAGATGTCTCAAAGCGCTTCACAGAATATACTGTAAAGTGAATTGACTGTATATTTGTGGGCGAAACGCGACAGCCAATTGTGCACAGCAGTGTCCCACAAACAGTCGTGGATTGAAGTGACCAATTTTATTATTGTTTATTTTCTTGAGGGCTTATTATCAGACGTGTGGAGTAAGGAAACTTGCCCAAGGTTTCGCCCTGCCGGGAATCGAAACTAGGTCTCTCGCTTGTCATTAATAACGTCTGACATTTACCTCTTATTTCACATCATTACTGCAGGAAACACCAGTTTCTTTCTATCACCTGGAAGCAAAACAAAGCAAGAAGTGATGTCATAAGCTAATCGCGTTATAAACCAATTTGCACTGTCGCAAAGTGCATTATAATAAACGCTGCACTGTTCATGTCAGACATTATTAATGACATTTTGTGCATGAAACGGGAGTTTTGCCCACAAAATATACAGTCAATTCACTTTACAGTATATCCTGTGAAGCGCTTTGAGACGTCTTGAAGATGTGATAAGGCCCTATATCAAAAAATGCAAGGATTATTATTACATTCCACAAGCAACATTTGCCCTGACTATTAAATTGAACTATTGCTTCAATGTGGACTTCACCTGTTCCTTCAGTATGCTCCAGAGGTTAAAAGGCGCTCTGCGCTGTCTGTAAAACACATATCATAATTAAGTATAGATTTTTTGTGTGCAAAAGAAGTATATTGCCAAAATTAAAGTTTAGATGTCCTCCCAAAGTGATAGACACTCTATATTTGTAAATGTTGTTGCTGTTGGCATTTTTTGCTAAAACAATATTAAACATCTCTTTTGCTCTCTTTGTTCTCAGGTAATAATGCCGGTGGAGAGAATGCGTATGCGACCGTGGTTGGAAGAGCAAATAAATTCAAATAAAATACCTGGTCTAAAATGGCTAAACAAGGTAAAAGTTCTACTGCATCCACAAGTTTCTGTAACTTTCAAAGCCAGTGAGGATGGACAGTTCTTTTTGTTCCATCTGAAGGGACTGTTGGAATTGTGATTGTGAGCAGAAACCTGGTTTAGATAAATTAAAACAAATCTGGTCATCAGTAGGTGGATACATATAGATCAGGGCTTGAACCTAAACTTCCTGACTTCGTAAAGAGACAGGTCATAAGGGGAGATCTAGAGCATTGGCAGAATCAGGTCAACCCGACCCATTGGCACATTCCTCCCTGCATCCATTTAATTAATAATAATAATAATCTTTGCATTTGGTATAGCACCTTATTATGTCAGAAGGACGTCTCAAAGCACTTCACAGCATTTTACTATGAAATGGACTGACTGTGTATTTGTAGGCAAATGCAGCAGCACAATTGCGCAAAGCAATGTCCCACAAAAGTCACAAAGTGAATGACCAATTTTATTTGGGGTATTAATGGCCAGGACACCGGGATAATTCTCTTCCCCTTTCTAATGGTACCACGGGATCTTTAACATCCACCTGAACAGGCAGTTTTATCCAAAAGATGGTACCTCCGACTATGCAACAACACCCCACCATCACTGCATTGGAGTTTTGGCAAGTTCCCTATCAGTTTCTCAATCTTTTTGATACAGGGAAAAGATTCAGTTTCTTCTTAAATTGTAACTAACTTTTAGTAAATGATCCTGTCAAGTCATTCTTGCTAAAGAGATCTCTGATGTGGATTTTGGATTACCAGTTCTGGTCAAGAGGTCCAAAGTAGTTAATAATAGTAATAATAATTGTTGCATTTGATATAGCACCTTATTACGTCACTGAGACATCTTAAAGCACTTCACATGATATACTATAAAGTGGATTGACTGTGTATTTTGTGGGCGAAATGCGACAGCTAATTTCGCACACTAATGTCCCACAAACTGCCATGGAGTGAGTGACCAATTTTATTTGGGGGATTGTTGCCCAGGAACAAGGAGAAACTCTCTTCTCTCTTTTAATAGTGCCATGGGATCTTTAACCTTCACCTGAACAGCCAGACAGGACCTGACTACCTCCACCCCTTTCCCTTGGCCAATGATAGCGATTGCCAGCTTTTAACCAGATTTTGCACATTTTATTCATTTCAACGTGATTATTATCACCAGTGACAATATCACATCAACATAGACGTCAATTTGTTTAAGTGTATTTGGTGGTGCTGAACACTGACTTTTGATTGTCTTATTGGATCCAATTCTATAACCATTCATCCACAAAATCCAGTCACTACGCTTTACAATAAGTCCTGTAAAGCGCTTTAAGACATCCTCCTGATGTGGAATGAAATGCATCAAAATAAATACATGGATTATTTATTATTTATTATTATAATATTATTATACAGAGGCTTTTTGAAAGTAGGATATGGACACAAACATTCCATCGGTCGATCCGTGGTAAGATTATCTTTCCTATGATATGATTTCATTAACCCGTGCGTCGTATTCCTAATTGCAGGAACAGAAGATTTTTCAGATTCCGTGGATGCATGCTGCACGACATGGCTGGGATGTAGAAAAGGATGCTCCTCTATTTAAAAACTGGGCGATTCACACAGGTAGAGAAATCCGAGACAAGAAACAGTTCATTTACATTAATAGGTCTCAGTTCCCTCGCCTCTGAGTCAGAAGGTTGTGAGTTCAAGCCCCACGTGGTGACTTTCAGCTGATCATCTAGACTGACACTCCAGTGCAGTGCTGGTGGGAGCACTCCATTGTCCAGAGATACCTTCCTTTGGGATAAGCCGTTAAACCGAGTACTGTCTGCCTGTTCAGGTGGATGTTGAAAATCCTATAGGTACTATTTGAAAAGGGAAGGGAGCTTTTCCCGATGTCCTGGCCAACAAATTCCCCTGATAACACTAGTCATTCATTTCATGACTGTTTTGGGGACTTTTCTATGCACAAATTGGATGTTGCATTTACCTATAAATAATGCACTGCACTTCAGCAACAATTACATACTTTTATATTCATGCAGAGTAGCGTCTCGGAGTGCTTTATAATAAATCCTATTAAGTGATTTGTGACATTTCAACTGTGATAAGAAACAAATAAGGAAAAATGCAAGGATTATTTAATAAATGATTATTTAACAAATTTAACAAATTGTTATTTGAAAAATAGTATTACTTTGCCACTAGATGCTGCTCTAACCAGGAGGCTAAGATTTCTTAGTTCTGTGGAATTTTTCAGTAAATACACGGTTACTACACCTCACCGTGTTGCCCCATCCTTCCTCTGCTATCCCTCGTGATCCCATTCCAAACCTTTGCTCCACCAACTCTTGCTTTCTTCAAGCTCTCAGCCCGCTCTCCCCCACCATCAGTGGATGAGCTTTCAGCTACTTTGCCCCAATTCTCTGGATTATCTGAACTCCCTCCACCTTGCTCACTGTCTCTCGGGCTTCCAAAATCTGCCTAAAATCCTTTTGTCAACTTTTCCCCTCACCCGCCAATATTCCTGCCAGTAAAGTCTGAGTGTTATATAGAATACCAATCTAGCCTTTATGTAACAGATACTATAATATATAATTCCACCACTTGTATTAATGGTCTATATAATTCACCCCTGTCCCCCAATGTCCCAAGATGCATCCGACATATTGAGGTTTGGGCAACAGGCTGGCTGAGAACAGCGGGAATTCACTTCACCAAGATGAAAGCATTCAAATAATTATCAGCCTTGACTCCTGAGCAAGAGGATGTCCTTCACTAGATTTACCGTAAACTTGTAAAGTATAGTGACTGTGCATTTTGTAGGCAAACAAGGCAGTCAATTCGTACAATGCTTTTCAAGTGCTAAAACATTGCTCCTTTCTTGCCCTGGAAAGGAAAATACCACCACGAGAAAGACAAAGCTGATCCAAAAACATGGAAAGCCAACTTCCGCTGTGCTATGAACTCTTTACCTGACATAGAAGAAGTCAAGGACAAGAGCATCAAAAAGGGGAGCAACGCATACAGAGTATACCGAATGCTACCAGCAACCGAGAAACCATTTAAAAAAGGTACTGAATAAAATAAACACTTTTAAAATAGATATATTTCACAATGCGCCCCCAGATGTGATTACGTGGAGGCTGTCTGACCAATGGTTTAAAATGTGAGTCAAATTTTAGTGGTTTGTTACTTCTCATTTCCTGAGATCATGCATTGTCATGTTGAAAGATTCACTAATATAGCAATAACGCTACTCAATCATCCCTGTAGCTTTATTACTGTGACAATAAACTTGAACTACTAAAATAAATACTGATTTGTAATTTAATGCAAGGATTATTATTATTATAAAACAAATCAGTTGAAATCAGTCTGTGTTCCTCCCTCCCCACCCCACACACATTTATTAAGTTTTTTTTTCCTATTTTCTCTTTTTGTCTTGTATGTTTTATTTTAACCCTCTCAGTTGCATTCACTCACCTGGCTCTTCTCCACATAGTGTTAAAAGTGGGTGAAATTTAGGTGAGATATAGGCTCCGTGACCCGACCCACGTGAAGTTGTTGTTGACACATTATGATTGGGGGCAGTCTGTCAGTGCAGCCCAGACCTCACTGTGTTTTCCTGCTCCACTGTTAGTGTATAGAGCAGATGACATTTGAGCCTGGCCAGAGAGAAAACTTACTCCAAGGAAGAAGTTAGTGAGGGGCAAGCGGAAGAGTCACAGACCCTGGAAACAAAGAAATTGGAGCAGAAACAGAAAGTGGAAACTGTGAACAAGTAAACCTATCATTAACCTCCACATGTTCTACACAACGATTGTGCTCAGATCAGCAAACTTGCCTGTGGGGTTTTAAGAGTTAAAGGTCTTGTTTAATTCCACATAACCACTACTTTGTCCTTATTTTTATCGTCTTATCCACTGCATAAAATCATATGGAGAAATTCTTCCACTCCATGCTGCAAGTTTCACTCAACATATTTGTTTTACTTCAGTGGTGTCTTGTTCTGCAATCACAGGTAAATCATTTGCTTATATCTAGATTATTAAATATAATCTAGATTATAATCACAGAAGTGGGAGAAAAATAGGTAAATAGGTGTGACTGCGTTTAAAGAGTCAGCACAGACTGAATCGGTTGAATGACCTTCTTCTGTGCTGTAAATTTCTACGGTTCTAATCATAAATAGTTGGATTCTGTGACCTTCTTTTCATAATTTAGATAAAGTGTCAAGTCTCAAAATCATCCTTGCGCCCATGTTTGGACCTTTCATAATAGTTAAACTAAAAACCAACAGCAATAAATCACTCTAGTTTGTACTTTGTACCACTGTAAAACTAACTGATTATGTACTTTATTTCCGAGAGCTGTTTTTGATTCTACAGAACAGAGAAATGATGATCAGTTTTGTGTATGCTTCAAAATACGTTTGAATTTCGTCAAGTTATTTATCCGAGTTGAGGATTTATATTTAAATTAAATTACTTCTGCATAGCCAGTTCCTCAAAATGCCAGCAGTTAGCCATGCTCAGATCCACCAGTGTTTAAGTCATTACCTTTTGTGTTACTTAAATGTGACTGTTGCTCACAGGAAAGAAAGCAAAGGTGGAAAAGGAAGAAACGAGCAAACCAGCGAAGGTAAAATTATGCCCAAATTTTTTTGTTTTGCTGATGCAGGGCCTATGTTGTATTCAGAGCCCGAAACAGAGACGGTTTGAATCTACAGAGAATTAGGATCCAGTGTTGCATCTTTTATTTAATACACACAACACTCTAATTCCTTATTTTTATCGTTTTATCTGCTCCATAAAATCATGTTCTAAAGGTGATGCTTTTAAATGTACAGATAAGGGTTTAATTGTTCTGATGAGATTCATTGCACTGGTATTTTCGAACACTCAGGAGAATGTGAAAAGGGTGTGCTAGTGAACATAAGGGCTTGTTAAGGTATCATTTTATTCAAAATTTAGGTGAAGGACCAAGCCTTAAAAGGAAATACACCAGCAAGAGTAGTGAAGAAAGAAAGATAATTTCAGTAATGAAAAGACCAGTTATTTTTACATTTACTTGTAACATTTTATAAGGCAGTAGCAATTCCTTTTTCATTTGTTAACAAAACCATTGTTTCCATTACCCATTGTGTGTTGTGTGAACACATGTGCACAGAGAGAATGATTAAGGAATCATCCGAATTGGTTGTTAATTGCATAATTAATGTCCTCTGTAATTCCATCTCTCCATCAGTGTTTATACATGGTTTACACAACTCGAGTTATTGATTCCAATATTACAATACAAACTGGATATTTTATCTGTGTTTCAATAAACACATAATGCAGGAAAAAATAAACAAGCCAAGTTAATTCCTCTGGATATAAGATTGCACTCAGGTCAATCTGTAAATAGTTGTCAAAAAGTATTCTTTGGACTACTGTTTATCAGATCAACAACAACAACAGCAAGATTACATTTGTATAGCGCCTTTCAGGTCGGGGGGACGTCCCAAGGCTCTGATCAGCATCTTTTTGGCAACATTTGGGAATTTAGACAGAACTTGATATTTGGACATTTGGGTAAATAGGACTAAAAAATACATAGGAGGTTCCCAATACATAGGGAATTACATAGCGGATTCACAATTTATCTACAGATATTTCTTTTAAGTTAACAAGAATGTGATAACTTTGGATTTGTTGGTTGGGAAAGCTCATAGCTATTTTAACCAGAATTTTTTTTTATTGTATAGTGGAAAGGACCGAATTTTCCTTTTGAAGATAATGACGTGTTGAGAAATGGCATTTACACATCCTTGAATATTGTCGTGAAAGAGGAGGCTCAAGTTCATAGCACTGTGGACAACATTATAGGTGAGCAATCTGTCAATGTAGGTCTAAAATGTGATGCTTACAATATGCAAATAGAGATGCATCCACCAGTAGGAACTAATAATAATCTTTACAATTGATATGGTATCATTGACATCAGCAAAATGTCTCAAAACGCTTGACAGGATATGCTTTCAAGTGACTGTATATTTTGTAGACGAACACACTCTTAACACTCTCTACTTTTATGTGTGCTGGAGCATAGTTCCCAGTCGGGTTGATGTCTCTGTTAGGAATATCATGTTTTTATCCCCAAAACAAAGCACATTGTTTTAATGTACATAACAGCTTATTAACTTATATCTTCAAATGTCTTTGATAAAACATGTTGCAGGAAATAGGCAACATTTTGTAAATAAGAGAGAATGAGTGTTTAGATTTTTTTTGACATGAGGCTTAGGTTTTATTTTGGCAAACTGACATTTTTGGTAAAGTAATGTTGTTTATTTGTTTAATTGTTTCAATTTCTGTGTCAATTGGTGTTGCTCCCACAAGGACACAAAGCTACAAACAAACAAGCAGGAATCGAAAGCAATTGCTGCTGAAAGCACATGGGTTCAGGTGCTCAGTATGTGGTGATCTTGAATAGCAGCATGGTGATGGAATTCCATACTGTACTGATAAGGCACATGGTTTATACAACTTGCATTATTGATTCCAATGCTACATTACAAACTGGATATTTTATCTTTGTTTCAAAAAAAATTGTAATGCAGAAAAAATTAAATGAGACTCCTAAATTCCATTGGATTCTAAGATTACACTCATGTCAATCTGTAAATAGTTGTCAAAAAGTACTGTTTGAAGAACTGTTTTATCATATCAGCAACATTTGGGAATTTAGTTAAGAGAATTCAGCATATTATTATTTTTCTCAGCAAAAAGGGGATGAGTCCAGGGGTGATTTTTTTTTGCCAAATGCTGGGCACGACTATATTCTTGATCCTGTACATAGTGCAAGATCATTTACTGTGACCAATTGTTACAATGTGATTCCTTTTAAGAAGTTGGGTGCTCTCCAAGTCAAAGTATAATGGATGAACCCATGATTGTCAGCAATCCGCCAGATATATGCCAAGTGGTAGAAGTGACCACAGAAAGTGAAGATCAGCCTGTCAGCACAAGCCAGCTATACCCATTGCAGATCTCCCCGGTTTCTTCCTATGCAGGTTGGTGTTGGTCTTATATTTATAATCCCTTTATTGCTGCCAGCTAATTTATTGAAATAGTTATGCACATTTGTGATCACTTACAATTTTGTGATAGTCACAAGATTACAGACATTGCACAGAAACTGCTTCTGAAAAAAAACATGCAATAGCTCCAGTGGTCTGGATCTCAAATCAGTACACTGCACAGTTCCTCTGATAGATAAATGGATTAATAATAATCATTGCATTTGATATAGCGCCTCATCATGTCATTGAGACGTCTCAAAGAAACACAGACCAAACTTAATTTGTGCAAAGCAATTAGCAGCTGTTACTGAGAGCTCCACAGTGCAGTAAGTTTGATTTGTGCTCAATGCTAAGCTTGCTTATCACAGCTATGTGGCACTGAGGGTGCTACAGCATGCTTCAAATTCCTATGCTAAGGGAAACCAACACACACGGTTTCTATTCCTGTTTGACACTCAGTTATCACTCATGGAAAATTGATGTCAGGTGAGGATGTAGTTGAAAGAGTGGTGCTCTTTTTTCCCATTCCCTTCCACCCCTTCCCTGGTCAAAAATCCTGACCACACTCACTGCATGGGTCTGCACATATACAATGGGCGCTCGGGTGATTTTGATAGAATGGATGGTTCAAAGACTCTGGCTGCCCCCCCATAGTTAGTGCAGCCCCGTGGAGTGGTACTGAAACATGAGGGGAAACAATAGTGGTGCCCGGGGGCTTGAGGCTCAACCAATCTGTAAAGATGGAGGGGGAGAGGGGTTAGCAATTGGATTGGACCACAATTTTCAATGATGTGTTAATTACCACCAGTAATAATATCACGGTATTGCATTATTTTTTGCCAAATTCACTCATCCAGGAGGAAAACAAAGGCTTGTGTGTTCCAATTGTTCATCAACACAGGAAGATTGCTTACTAATAGTACTTCTTGCGTTAAGCAAAGCACTTCATTTCAGGGAAATAACATTACAACTATAGGGTCTATTATGCACTCTGGGACATTACCCTGTGCGACAGGCCCTATATAAATGCAAGTTGTTGTTGTTATGCGCTACTTGTAAACTCATGTGTACAGAGGGAACAACAGGTAAGCGATAATTTTGTAGATGGTCAATAAAAAGGATTTATTAATTACGAAATCAGTCACCAGTCCTTTTCATTGGTTTTTAAATATATAAATAAGGACACATAAAATTCTCCCTGCTTACATGCAGTTTACTTGTGGTTTACACATAGCACATTATACACCTGATTGGCTAAACACAACATCAACAACTTGGATTTATATAGCGCCCTCCATGCCGGACGTCGTCTCAGAGGCTAAAGAAGTAGTGAAGCATACAGTAATACGAAAGGGACATTGACAGAAGCTGGGTTCACCCATTTCAGCACAAAGTAAATTTACCATTTGACCTGAGGTTACAGATGGCCTTATTTATGTATTTGACACTGGGCACCTGACATTGCTGTAGTTGGTTGTGTTTCTTCCACAGACCTGGGTGAAGAGTTTGAGGCACAGGCAACATTCCGTATTGAAACTTGTTGGTCCAAATAATGATAATAATAATCCTTGCATTTGATATGGCACCATTTCATATCGGGATGACATCCCAAAGTGGTTCACGTGATTTTGCTATGAAGTGTAGTGACATTTTGTAGGTGAATGCAGCAACCAATTTGCCTACAACAATGTCTCACAAATAGCTACAAAGTGAACGACTAATTTTACCTGGGGGATTGTTGGCTGGGAAAAATCGTGAGTTATATATTGAGATAAACAATCAAAAACTCAATGGGATGGGAGGGACAACCGTTAGAGAAAATCAGTGTTTTTAAACTGGGGTCTAAACGTACTGGGCTGTGTCACAACTGTGTGTGTGGCTGCTGGCAAGAGCCTTTCCAACATAAACAGCGTTTTCTTCATGGAACACCCTACATTTAGAATGATACAATATAATTTACATTTATACAGTGCCTTTCGCCTGGGAGGACGTCTCAAATGGTAAGACTTGCCTTGAAAGAGGGGAGGAAGGGGGTCAGAGGGGCACTGGGATGGAATTACAGTGAGCAGTGCAGAATACTGGCATTTCAGCTCAGTCCTGTGACCTTAGTAGAGCTGCAGTCTCAAGACTATGCTGTACATGGGTTTAATGGAGCAACTTCTACTTACGCTGGAGGCACTTTTACTTTATGTAGTGGTAATGCTGTTAGAGCACTTTTTAGACCCCATTGTACTTTTTTTCAAGTCATATTGCACCTAGATTCTCCCATTTGCTACCGCACATTTGTTTTACAAATGCAAACGTAGTTTCTTAGGTGCTACCACTATAAGGTCTATTTACATTTTGGTGACAGAAGAACCCATTGAGCACTTATGATTACAATGATTACAAATAATGTACAGCACGGAAATAGGTCACTCGATCCAACCAATATGTGCCGGTCTTTATATTCCAGATGAGTACCGCATAATTGACTGACTGTATGGAGAACAGCAGCGATGAAGGGAGAGAAATTGAGAAACAAAATTGTTTTTTTTAAGAACAACAATTATTCTAATCAGATATAACTGCTAATAAAATGTTTGGCATTAATGCTATGAAGTTTTTCTTCAAGTCTAGCTTAGGTTGTTTGGAAATATTGGGCAAAACTCCTACTCAAACAGATTGCATTTACAAAAACATAAGTTAAAAATTGTTCAACATTGTGTTTGTGTTGAGATGTGAGGAATCTGTGTGGCCAGTTTTTAACCTTACTCATATTTATTATAACAGAGACTTAAATGCACATATATTTATAGTATAAATATAGCTTTATAATAAGACTGATGCCCCAGAAAACTTTTAAAGCTGCTTGTTTTCGATAAATGAATGTTCACCTTCCTACAGGTGTGGCCAGCTTTAATCAGTTGGTTGCACTTTCGCCTTTGAGTTAGAAGACTGTGGGTTTAATCTCCAAGTCAGGACTTTGAACTCACAAGTGTAGACTGATAGTCGACGTGTGTGCTGCATTGTTGGAAGGTTGTGCTCTTCAGATGAGATGCTAAATTTAGGTCTGGTTTGCCTGTTCAGTTGGACGTTAAAGATCCAGTGGCACAATCTGAAAAGAGAAGGGGTTTTGTCCCAGTGTCCTGGCCAACAATCCTCCAAATAAAATTGGCCACTCACTCCATGGCTGTTTGTGGTAACTTTGCTGTGTACAAATTGGCTGCTGAATCTCTTCACAGTTTGTACAAAGTTACAAATTACACAGTCACTACACTTTACAGTACATCCTGTGAAATCCTTTTGATACGTCCTTCTGACATGAAATGCGCTAAATCAATATGAGGTTGATTACTGGTGTGATTTACAGCATATAAAGTATGTGAATCCTATAGCTTAATGGTTAGAGCACTTGCCTCGCAAGCGAGAGATCCTGGGTTGATTCCAGGGCAGGATGAAAAGTTAGGCAAGTTTCCTTACTCCACATGCCTCTGTTTACCTAGCAGTAAGTAGGAAGTAGGTTGTTAGTCGATTGGTGGATCACTTTTCTGGAGATAATAAGTCCTTAAAAAAANTGATCATAATAATTTGATCGCTTAATCCACTACTGTTTGTGGGACACTGCTGTGAGCAATTGGCTCAACATATACAGTTAATTCACTTTGCAGTATATTCTGAAAGTGGTTTGCGACGTCTTGAAGACGTGATAATAATATTAATAATCCTTGCATTTGATATAACGCCTTATCACGTCTTCAAGACATCCCAAAGCGCTTCACAGAATATACTGTAAAGTATATTGGCTGTGTATTTTATGGGAGAAACGCAAGACTCTATATCAAATGCAAGGATTATTATAATTATTATCAGTTGTGATGTTCAAAATGATACTGTTAGCAAAGGCGAATGATCTATTCGCTTGATCAACTTGTTTTCACTTTTGTTTATTTCACAGAAAGTGAAACGGATAGCGTTGCATCCAATGAAGAATATGCTGAGGTCAGTAAAATATGAATGTGTCTTTGAAGTAAAAGAGAAAGTTGCGTTAGTCTGGGTTTAGTGCCTCCAGTATTTGAAAATGTTGCTCTCCTGTGGGGGAAGAGGTGATCAGCAGTGCAGTGTGCCTCAAATATAAAATACAGCTTGAATCCAGCTACTGTTAATATTCCCTTCCAGAGGGTGAGTTTACTGATGCATTGAGCCTAGATGACATCCTGGACTGAAGAGACAGAATATATGTACCAGGATTGCCATTGGATCTCCTAGTGGCCAAACAAGGAACTGCATTGATAGTTGAAGACCAATCTCTTCGCAGTTCACCATCTCTTCATAATTCATATGAATTTGAGGAGCGGGGTGAAGAATGCATTTTTTAAAAAAAAATTGCATGTGTTATCAAATCTGTTGTGAACCATTAAAATTTTCTATCCATTCTTAAAGACAGGCTGCAACCACCCTCCCTTGCCTCCTTCAAGGCACGTCTCAAGTCCCTCCTCTACAACCATGCCTTCAGCCACCTTCCTACCTTCCCTCCCCTCCACCCTCCCGGATCCTCCTGCCCCCCACCCCAGCTTGGATCAAAATCCCTGACAGTCCAACTCCTTGGGACATCCTCCCGACATGAAAGGCGCTATTCAAATGTAATTTTGTATTGTATTTCATTTATTACTACTCATACTAACCCAGCCAGAACCCTCATTCATGCTTTTGTCATCTCCAGACTTTTCCAATGCTGTGCTCAGTGGCCTTCCCCAGCTCCATTCTCCACAAACTTCAGACAATTAGAAAACTCTACAGCCCTCTCCTATCCTCTCCCATCATGCACATGCTTGCCTGTTACCACTGGCTCCCTATCCCTACCAGATCAATTCTAAGATCCTCATACTCACCTTCAAAAGCCTCCATGGCCTTGCTTTCAAAGGTCTTTTGGAAACAGAGATTTAAAGAAAATAGATATGAATTTCACAAATCATAATAATAAAACAAGCACAAACATTACAGGATGATATTGAATATTATCATTTTGCCAGATTGCCAGAATTCTTTTTATTTATCAATTAATATTTGTTACGTTCAAGCCTATGACTTGTACGCAACTGACATTTGAAACCCAATTTTGTCTTCAAGAGCTTTTTTATAATTGTATTAACTTTAGTTCTTTGTCATTTCTTTTACATAGATGAATGAGAAAACAAACCAAGATCAGACACAATGGCAACAGAGCAACATTGAAGGGAAGGAGTTTCTCAGTAACGTGGGTTTGAACAGTGTGTTCAATCCAAGCACCACTGTGTCTTCTGTGACTTCTAGCATCGGTGACAACAAAGCTCCTGTCATTGAATCTGATCCAGAAACACTTTATACCAATGCATGGACCGACCTAGCTAATGCCTCTGTGTCACCTACCCCATCACAACAAGCCTCTGTCAAACAGCGTGGACCTGAGAAGCGTGCGACTGTCATCATGAAAACATCGGATTTAACTGGAGGCAAGAAATGCTGAGCCCATGGGTAGATTTCTTCTGGTAAAGTCTACTGGGCCGAAGGCACACTGTAATAAAGCGACTTTGCAGACCATAATTTGACTATTTGTATGTAATAGAAAGTGTGCTGCAGCACTGGATATCATTTGGTTCTTTATCTGAACTGCCACCTCCAGATCATCAATTTTTAACTCAGGACAACATTTTTATGATGACCATTGGTTTTCCTGTTGCACTTGTTTGTTTATCGAAAAACAACGTTGCTGAGCTTTGTCTCATCAAGGACTCAGAAAGAGAATTCAGAAAGGACCAATGCAACTTTCAGCGCCTTCCAAACCTTGCTACAGCAGAGAAATTGTGAACTGCATAGCAAAACGTAAATATTTTTTATATTCTTTTAATGTGAATATGTATATAGTACAGGGAAGGAAAGTCACTGCCTGCTTTTGCACCTTAAATCTAGTGTGGCACTTAATGCTGTTATCTTCCTGGACTGGCAAATACAAATATAAGTATCTAGAACTTAATTTTTATGGTTCAGTCTGTGGCCAGGTATAAGAACTGCTTTCACTTTGCCTCCTTTGCCCAAGTTCGGAATGACAATAGGATTGATCCTGAATGATGTGCAAAAAAAGAATGTCTTAGTCGAAGGATGAGCTTTAATCTTTTTCTAAAGCAAGCTTTTTTTTATAAAGGGATTATTTTATTCAGGGTAATTAATTCTAATGTGAGTATAAATCGTTATCTTTTTTACGAAAATAAATATTTTTTTGGGTTCCATTCCTTGTTTATTAGCCTACATACCTGTGGTAAATTGTTAATTTTTTAACAGAAATGTGTAGCAGTTAAAAACCACCCAATAAATATGCTACCTGCTACATCACTGAGTAGAAATAGTGAGTTTGTCATCAAAATTCGATATAAATCATGTGCAAAGTTATCAGCAAAACATTTATTGGGATTTTTTTAACAACTTCCTTTGTATAGAGCAGGCTTCAGGGCATTAATAATGAATTATTGAATCTAAGATACATTGGATTGAAGAATATTGCTATTGACAATCGTATTTCACTTGTGCTGTTTCATCTCTTGTTGTAAAGCCAGGTAAAGTTACACAGAATTTCATAATTATCCCCCTCCATTTGCTGTAGGAACAAGAAATTTATGATCATCTTTTATATAGTGAAATTATGTCTGTTACACCCTGTCAGCAATGTTTATTTTTAAAATGACATTAAGCAAGTGATTCATTAATAGGGCTGTTATGCAGCAGGTTTTTGCATCAATCTGATGTACAAATAGTGCTGCATCAATGCAAAATCTAGCTCCAGTATTCCATCAGCAATGTCAGATGATTGTGATTTAACGTAGGTGCGAAGGTTGTCTCACACCACTTAGACCAGATGCAGAGCCATCACAAAGCAACTTCTTCAATGTTCATGTTATATTCTAACATGTTCATTATAAGTCTCCAGGTGCATACTTGTGATGTCAATACGAAGCCAACAAGACAGCTTTCAGAACATTAAGCCCGAAATTCTACCTTGTTCTTGCCTGTGAAACCATTGTGTTTTAAAAAAATCCAGAAAATTCCGAGTAATGGGAAATTTTAAGAGAAAATTGTGTTGGAATTTTGGGCCTTTTATCTGCATAAGTTTGCACAGACTGAGTGCTGATTTGCACCGAAACATGGTGATACAGAGCCAGCAGATAACTTAATGTTATTGACATGCAAGATAACTGGCATAAGCAACTGCAGTAAATTACTACTCATTTTTACTTTTGATGATTGCTGTGCAGTGAGATTGCTTTGTTTTGTTTATGTTTTTGCATTCACGTTTTATACTATAATATATCTTGCGTGTTGATCACTGGAAAGGAAGCATGTTAGGGTCTAAAATGCAATCCTCATAAACCAGATTTATTGTATGAATTGCTATTTCAGGTTTGCGAATATTGGATTGATTGGGTGGTTTGAAAATGCTGAAGCGTGAATTCCAAGTTGGCTTGCTCATTGGCAATTTCCTACACTTTCTAGAAACGGGATTGCAATTCTCTGTTTGCAGGTCCAACAATAAGAAATTCGCAAACCAGAAGTGGCAATTAAAACAAGAAATCCAGTTTGTAAATATTGCATTTTAAAACCACATTCCTTATCGCACAATCATAATTTTATTTTCCTACCAGTTTGTCATCTGCTATATTCACACTCCAGTACCTCACTCAAATACCCACTTACATACAACCTGGGCAGTGAATGTTGGCAGGTTCTTGAAATACTCAAGTATGAGCCTTATCCTGTCCTCACTGACATCCACAAATATACACCTAAAGACAGGAGGTTTTGAAAGCCAAACTTGGACTCCTGGCTGAGGTGATTCAAATCTGCAACTTTCTCGTTGAAGATTGCCCAGTGCTCACTAGCCAGTGCCTTTACTCACCAAGCCATAGACAGAGGCTCCAGATGTTTGTTTGCTTATCAGTGACCCTTGGCCACTCTGTGTCTCAGCTGTTGGTTGCATGTTAACTGAGAACAGAGATGAGATCCTGTGTACACTGATGTGACATGAAACCTGGTTCAAGTGAGATTGTGAACGGAGACATGGATGGTCTAAAGTTCCAATTCAAGGCATCACTGGATCAAAGCCTCTTCATGTCCTATTACTCAGTGAACACTGGCCTGCTTTCACATCACTTTTCCCACTCAATCTGCCCAAAGATTGGTAGGTGAACTTTCAGCCATTCTGTTTCTGCTCTCTGGATTCCCTTCGACCACCCCCACCCACACCACTTTTAAAGCCTGCCTTAATATTTACCTCTTTGATTATGCCTTAAGATTTACGACTGTGCTTTCTCTCAACTTCCCCTCCCTTCCTCCATACCCCTCTGGCTTGGGTTCCCAGCCAGCATTGTAACGCACTTTGAGACATCCTCCCGACATGAAAGGCGCTATATAAATGTAAATTGTATTGTATTGCAGAGCTGTGCATAGAACTCTGTTCTCTTATTGTCTCTAAATAGCTACTTCAAAAGCACAAAACACAATAGCATGGAGTGACTGAGCTTGCTATCTTAGAATGTATGACAATGATCATTAATCATGGAATCCATTTCATTCCAGTCAGTCAGTTACATTATTGGGCTGTGAAGTTTTCACCGATAACATTTGACCGAGTATATACAAAGTATAAAAGGCAAACTACTGCAGATGCTGGAAATCTGAAATATAAACCGAAGTCGCTGGGAACACTCAGCAGGTCAGGCAGCATCTATGGAGAGAGGAAAGTGAGTTAATGTTTCAGGTCGATGACCTTTCGTCAGAACAGTTCTGAAACGGTAACTCATTTCCCTCTCTCCAAAGATGCTTCCTGATCTGCTGAGTGTTCCCAGCGACTTCTGTTTTTATAGACAAAGAATGTTACACAGTCAATATCACATCTCTCTTTTGCCCCATTACATGCAGTAAAACAAATTAAAAAGAGTTCTACAATCCATCACGTCTCAGGAGGAAGCGTGACGATAGGAGTGAGTCTGGATGGGAGATGGAATATAAAGTCAGCAAAGCTCAAAGTTACACTTGTGCATATGCTGGGGTGAAAATTGTTGAATGTGATATGTTAATTGACAGCCTTGGTACTAACTAACACATCCGTGAGAAAAACAACCAGTCAACATGTTAATTATTGGCCCACAAGTGTAATAGAGATCCAATACACCACCACCACCCCTTCACTCCCAACATCCCCTGACACGGTTCACAATGGTTTTGTCCCGAAGCCTCCCACACTATCCGTTGAATGTTTGTCTGGCTTGTAGCATTCAGCTACCGATTAGTGCGGTACTGGCTCAACTAAACCAGACAATCAGAGTTATGCTCTTATCAGTTATCTGCTGACCTACAGTTTGACACTGTGATCCCAAAGGCCAGTGCAGTTGGCTCCTGTGCACATCCATTGTGAACAGTGCTGGGAGGGTGTGGGTGTGTTTGAGGAATTTCAACTCCAACACACGCATAATTCAGTTGATTAATATATCAACCAGTCTTTGTTTTTAGATACAGTATTTAGCTCCGTCCTCTGTAAATGTGCCTTGCCATAAAAATTTAAAGAATGGCATTATGATTATTATGAATAATAATAATTATTATTAAATAATAACCATCCTTGCATTTCATACAGCACTTATCAAAATGTCTCAAAGGGCTTGACAATAATTGTCGAACAGTAGTGATTGTGTTTTTGTAGTGATGTACTGTATATACAGACCTGTTGCAAGGCCTGCAGGTCACTTCCTCATGAGCAGATTCTGGCATTGTTTTGTTTTCATGACTTTCCAAGTGGTTTTGCATCAGTAAAATATTGAACAGTGTATTTTTTTCACCTCAAGCAGATGCTGGAGAGCCTTGAATGCATTGCATTCCTGCAAATGTGTAACTGTAGATAACCATCTATAAATTCTGTTTTCAACATTAAGAAATAAAAAAACAATCGATGGTTCTGAAAATCTGTCTAACATGTAACAAGGTTTTATTCTTATGACCTGAAATTGTTATATCAAATTAAATGTTGATGATGATTTTAACATTTCATAGTACTGTTGCATAAAACCTTTACCAATAAAAATGTCTTTCAAGATAAGTGCCGAGCATTTTGTGTTGAGGCATTATATGACATGAAATACTATAAATGTGGTAGTAAGTCTTAAATATTTTGTCCTGCAGAAAAGATAGATGTGCAGAAAGGATACTTTCACTTTAGATTAGCACTGTGCAATCAGTTTGGACAGCAGTACACCCTAATTATACTATGGGTTGCAATTTGACACTCTGACAAGCTTTACACAGTAAGTTGGTAGCACTGAATTCCACTGCTAACTTCGTACTGTTCTGTACTTAGTAAAAGGAAAGGGCCTTAATATGCAGGTGGTGTGAATCCCAAACTGCAAGAGATCATCTCCTTAAAGTGGTCAGGCGACAGTTGGATCAGTAACAACAACAACAACTTGCATTTATATAACGCCCCTCATGCAGGGTAGCATCCAAGAGCGCTTGATAGTGGCGGAGCACAATGCTCAGACGGGGGCAGAGAGCAATCTCAAACCACATATACCTGCAGTCATACAGTTACTGCATCAGTGCAACTTTACATTTAATATTATAGTGCTGCATAGACAGAACACTAAAGGAGACCAGCCTCACTGAAGAGTGGTTTGCCTTCTTCAGTCATCCAGAAGTGTTTTTTCATCTTTAGATGAAATACATTCATTGAAAGGAAATCATAGGATTTTAAATAGCAAAGTATCAGAGTAATAAACTTTAAAATATTAAAATAATTAATTCCAAATGTATACATAAAAATGGAAATTCCGCTCTTCTGATTGTGGTGTATTATGATTTGCAGCAGAGTGGAATTTCCATTTTGCCTTTCGACCCATCGTGCTGTGCCTGAAAGAGCTATCCAACTCATCCCACTTTCCTGCTCTTACCCCATAGCCCTGCAGACGTTTCTATGATATAAGATTCTAAATTTTGATATGATATAAAATTCTAAAATTCAGTTTTAAAGTGGAACCTGTTTTTTTAAAAGCCCACGTATTTTGTGGAGAAATTGTTATTTTGCCTTGGGATGTCCTCCTGCCATGAAAGGCGCTATACAAATGTAATTTTTGTTGTTATTTAATATGATACACAATTGTATATTCATACATTGGAAGCTATTTATCTATGAGCACACGTCAGATTTTACACATAATCCTTATAATAATTCTAGTGCCATGGGATCTTTATTGTCTATCTAACCAGGCAGACAGCACCTCAGTTTGACATCTCATCCAAAGAACAGCACCTCCAACAATGCAGCAACTTCATTGCAGTTTCAGCCTAGACTCTGTGTGTTCAAATACCCCGATGTGGAGTTTCAACCTATAACCTTCTAGCTCAGGAAAGAGTGCTACCAACTGAGCTTGGCCAACACCACATAGAATGATATGTGACTTATAATGAATGCATCTCTTTTTTTTTTCCTTGTTCCCCACAACGTTTCTCTTCTCCAGAAGATGCTGACTCATATGTTCCAAGGGCATCTCTTGCTGTCTGCAAATTGCCTGCTGCATTCACCCACAAACACGCACAGTCACTCCACTTTACGATATATCTGAAGAGTTTTAGAATGTCCTCCGGTGTGAAAGGCGCTGTACCAAATGTAACAATTCCACTCCTTATATGTACATGAATCCTAACAGGTGACAAGGCAGGTGGACAAAGCTGCCAAAAAAACTAATGGAATCTTAGATTTTATAAATAGGTATATAGTCCTCTCTATCGCTGTAATCTCCCAAACCCCTAGCAAGCTGTCCACTCCCTCCGTTCAGTGGGCTCCGGCCTGCTTCACATCCCCCACCTTAACCGCCCCACCAATGGCGGGCAGGCTTTCAGCTGCTCTGCCCCCACCCTCTAGAACTCCATCCCACAGTCCCTCCGCTTCGCCCCTCCTTTGTCCCCTTCAAGACCTGTCTCAAGACCCTCCTCTTCGACTGTGCCTTCGGTCACTCTCCTACTCCTACCCTCCCCACCTTCCACCGCTCCTGAACCCAACCACC